GGGGGCGGGGGCCCGGGCCGGGGGCCGCCGCCGCTGCTGCTGCTTCTGGAGGCCACGCTGGTCCTCGCCGCCGGGGCCTCGCCGGGTAGGTAACGACTGCAACCGTGACCCCAGCGGCCCTCGCGCCCCACCCTGGGCCGGTGTCCGGCTGGCTTCGGGTACAGGCGGAGTCGGCGAGCTGTGGCAAGGGGGCGGGGCAGCGCCTTGCCTGAGACCCAGGCGGGGGAAGGTGCGCGCAAAGAGGTGGGGGACTTGGGGGAGGCCGAGTGGTGGGCGGCGGCCGGGATCAGGCTGTGCGGACCGAGGTGCGGGCTGGGGGAGGGGCCTGGGTGGGCGGGACCTAAGGGTGAGACTTTGGGGCGGGACCTGGAGGTGACGGAGGGGCCAGAGCATAGGAGTTCAGGGCGGGGCCTCGGAGTGGGGTGGGGCCCTAAGGGTGCGACTTCGGTGCGGGGCCTGGAGGTGGAGTGGAGCCTAGAGAGTAAGACTTTTGCCAGATCCGGAATTGGGGGCCCCTGTGGTTAGACTGCGGGTTGTGTCGGCGGCGGGGCCTGACGCTTGAGGGGTGGGGCCTGGGCGGGGAAACATTGGGCCGGGTGTATTCCCAGGGTTGGGGGGCGGGCTCGGGGCGGGGCTTAAAGATGGGGCGTGGCCTCGGGAAGCGTTGAAGCGGCGGTTTTGGGTTGGCCCTGGTCTAGGAGAGCGAGCCTCGGCGGGGCGGGGCGGGGCGGGGCGGGGCCTAAGGCCTACCACGCGCGCTGCTGTGACGCCCCGCCTCTCTCCCTCCCGCCCACAGCTCGTGAGACGCGCAGTGCTGTCGAGGCCAAGGAGCGGGTGATGAGCGACCTGGCGTGGGAGCCGCGTGCCAACAACACGCGGGAGGAGGCCGGCCAGCCCGCAGCTGCGGAATATGTGACCTCGTGGACCGCGCTCGGCGGCGAGCAGGCCGTGGTGGGCCCTGGGGTCGGGCCAGAGGAGGCGCTGGAGGCGTCGGCGGCCGTGACAGGCACCGCCTGGCTGGAGGCTGACAGCCCAGGCCTGGGCGGAGTGACCGCAGAGGCGGGCAGCGGAGACACCCAGGCCCTTCCAGCAACCCTCCCGGCTCCTGATGAGGCCCTCGGGCAGTCATCGATGCCCCCTGCAACCTCCGAGGCTACAGAGGCCAGTGGACCACTCTCCACCACCCCTGGTGACAAGCTGAGCCCAGGCCCTGAACTCTCCAAGGAGAGCCCCTTGGAGGTTTGGCTGAACCTGGGAGGCAGCACACCTGACCCTCATGGGCCAGAGCCCACGAATCCCTTTCAGGGCACACTGGAGCCCCAACCGGCATCAGATGTAATTGACATTGACTACTTCGAAGGATTGGATGGTGAGGATCGTGGCGCTGACCTGGGGAGCTTCCCTGGGTCACCAGGAAGCTCAGAGCACCACCCTGATGATGGAGGAGAGACCCCTTCCTGGAGCCTGCTTGACTTATACGATGACTTCACCCCCTTTGATGAATCTGATTTCTACCCTACCACATCCTTCTATGATGACTTAGATGAAGAGGAGGAGGAAGAGGAGGATGACAAGGATGCAGCAGGAGGTGGAGACCTGGAAGATGAAAACAACCTTCTAGTGCCCACTGAGAAGCCTGTTCTGGGGCCTGGGACAGGCCAGCCCACCAGTCGGTGGCATGCTGTCCCTCCACAGCATACTATGGGGATGGTCCCTGGCAGCAGCATCGCCCTCAGGCCCCGCCCAGGAGAGCCAGGCAGAGACCTAGCCCCAAGTGAGAATGGCACTGAGTGCCGCAGTGGCTTGGTGCGGCATAACGGCTCGTGCCGGTCAGTGTGCGACCTCTTCCCAAGTTACTGTCACAATGGCGGCCAGTGCTACCTGGTGGAGAACATAGGGGCCTTCTGCAGGTAAGGGTGTGGCAGGCAGGTGCATAAGGGCTTGTAACAGAACTCCTGAAGAGTGTATGTGAGGCACACTCAGCAAAGAGGGGAATGGGACAGGTGTAACTTCCAAGAGGTTGTGCATTCACAGGATTCCCTCAGTTAAGAGATGTTCACTCAGTTGTCTTCTACAGAATTACTTCCTAGTGAACTTCCTGTGATCTCATCACTAGGAGAGGTTCTTCGGAAATAAGATTTTCTATTTCCTCTAAGTGTTTTGTCCTTTACCAAATCACTAAACTATAAAGGCAAAATGAAGGGACTTCTCTAAGGGTTTTGGAAAGAGGCCTTTGCTGGCTTGAGGCATTTTTGTTGGAGAGTTCTGGCTGTACTAGCAAAAAGAGTGGGCCCATAAACTAACTCTGGAGGAAAGATAGCTGCTGGACACTCCCTTGGAGCCATATGTGTGACAGGAGAAGGGCCCCATCTTCCTGTGGGGTATGTGTGGTAGGTGGGCCTGTCAAGTCAGAGTGAAGACCTTCTCATTGGGAGCAGACTCAGAGAGCAGCCACTCAAATAAGTTGAATCAAGCAGAGTCTTTTCTGGTGTAGCAGATGTGGTGGGATTTCTTAACTTTGAATAGTGGCATTTTCCCTTCTACCTTGATGTTTGTCTTCCTTGGGATACCCAATCCAGAATGTTTTTAAAGACCTAGAGAGTTTAGTGTTTCTAAGGACATGGTCTGAAGCCACCATCTCATGCCTCATCAGTAATTAACCCATACACCTGCCTTCATGGCAAAGTAGTTAACCTGTGGGAGAGCTCACCAGCTTATTCTGGAAGAATCACAAGTCAGGGGTGATCTGGGTGGTTTGCTTGTCTCCATCCTTTACAGGCCCCAGAAGTGAAGTAGAGCCCTCATATTCCCCTGGGACTTGTTTCCACTGGTCCTAGGAGGAACATTTCTGTAATCTGGGGATCTCTTTTTTAAGTGTCATTCCCAATGTTTCTTTTTCTTGGTCTTTTGGAGGTACGTGAAGAATTCAGGTTCTGTGGGTTTTGATGTTCTAATAGAAGAATAACATATAGAAAGCATGAATGTTGTGCCTTTGCTTTAAAGCTCGAATTCCTTCCTGTGAAGTTCTTTTCTATGAATGATCGTGACAGTAGGGTCACTCATGCAGGATGTGTCCACACAGTTCTGGTTAGACTTGTCCAGGCATTGCCAAGAGGAGGAACTGTAATCAAGAAATTATGGCCACAAGACCTTGCCAGTTGATTAAGGGCTACCACAACTATGGGGAAACCCTGTGATTTTGCTCCTCAAACTTTAATTGAGAAGACTATAGTGATTATTTTAGCCTGGGAGCTATGGAATCTCTGTGCAAAATCATTATCTTTCATCCTATTGGAGACTTGAGTTTTCACCTTCAAAGTAAGCTCCCCACCAGAGTATGAGATTTGGAGCTCTTGCTGCCTCTGGAGAGCTAGAAAAGTCCCCAGAGCCTCTTGGAGCTCTCAGGGGATTCCCCAGTGGAGGAGTAAGCTTGTCCTCACTAAGCTGCGTGGCTCTGCTGACTATGGGCCTGCTGATGGGTCACTGCCTCAGAAGGGCTTCTCCACAAGTCCTCTCCAGTTCCCCTTGCTCACCAGCCATCCCAGGATCGCACTCGGGCCTCCCTACCGGAGATTCCTCCTCCAGCTGTGTACACTCAGGCCCTGCAGTGGCTCGAAAACTGTTTTGCATTCCCCTCACAGGAGACTGCCAAGCCCTTAGTTGCAGACTGCAGTGCGCCTTTGTCTCTGTCACCGTGACCCACTGCAGAGAAACGATCCGAGCTGTGGCAGAACTTCCCTAGAATAGTGGGTTAGAGGGATCTGCTTTCCCCGGCATCCTCAGACAGATAGCTATGACCACAGAGGGCCAGTTGGAAAAGAAAGAATTTCCTGTTAGATATGTCTCCCCACCGTATTCTGGGTGTGGAGTAGCCAATTCTCTGATGCATAATTTCCCCATTTCTGGACGCTTTTCTCTTCTCTGTCATTCACTCTGAGGTTCATGTCCTCCCTCCTTTGCCTGCTTCTGTATCCTTCCACATCTTTCCTCTTTGAAGCAGCCTGGTTCCCATGGAAACAGCAATGTCATTGGAAGAGTTGGAGCCTGGGAATGTCCCCAAGGGCAGGAGAAAGTCACTCAACAAAAGAACTAAAACCCACCCAGAGGGTTGATGCATGACGGTTCTCATGGTAATAGGACAGGAAGCTTTAGGGGCTGCAGAGATAGGAGGAGAATATACACCCATCTTTGTGCTTGTCCTTGTCTGTCGCTTCTTTATTTTTCAGTGTCTGGTTAGCCACGTGAACTAGATGGGACTGCAAAGCAACAAGATAGGTTTTCACTTGTAGGGCGGATCCTACTGCTTTGTAGCCAAAGCTCCTATTCATCTGTCTTTTACCCAGATCCCAGGGCAGGGGGGCCTGAGAGAATCCTCTGATTGTCCTCATTGAGGTTTCGAGGTGGAAAACCAGGATTGCCTTCCCTCCTCGGTCACCTAACAGTTGTGTGAATGGCCAGTGCACTCAGTTGCTCAGCGCTCTGGTTACCTCGTTTATATCATGGACCTCAGAGCTGCCTGGCCCGCTTCATAGGGTGGTGATAAAGATGGGGCAAGAATATCAACTATAAGGTCTGCATAGGTTGAGGGCATCACAATTCCTCTAGACAGTTGTAGGAACAGGCTGTGAGGTAAGTACTGGGGTCAGAGACCAGGCCCTTGCCATGGCCATGGCTGCCTGCCCATTGCCTCAGTCTCACCCTGTTGCTGCTGCAGGTGCAACACACAGGACTACATCTGGCACAAGGGGATGCGTTGCGAGTCCATCATCACTGACTTCCAGGTGATGTGTGTGGCCGTCGGCTCAGCTGCCCTCGTACTGCTCCTGCTCTTCATGATGACGGTGTTCTTCGCCAAGAAGCTCTATCTGCTCAAGACAGAGAATACCAAGCTTCGTAGGACCAAGTGAGTCTGTGTCAGCTAGCCCCACCCCAACCCCTCCATCTGTGCTCCTCCATCTGATCCAGGGATGTTGTCTTGAGGGTTTCTGGCACGTGCTTTCCATCCCTAGTTGTGTTTTTCACACCAAAGATTCACCCAAGCATATCCATTCCTGCACGGATTGTGCTGGAATTGCAGCAAAAGCTAAGCCCCTGTGGCACCCTGCAGCTATCCAGCACCATGTCTAACACCCCCCACCCCAGGAAAGAGAATGCTTAAAGAAAAGGGAACCAGCATACAGCAACTATTGGCTCTGGTCGCCAAGTAAGTTACTGTGCTCAGTCTCCTGCCCCCACCTGACTGCACCTGCTTCCCAGGTCTTTGGCAGTCAGTGGCCAGTGTGAGGATTTCATTCACAAATCAGTGTGAAGTAACTCTACTTCCCTTAAATCTGCTGTTGCTCAATACCAGGTCCTCCTCAATGAATGCTGAGGAGAAAGGGTTTAGCACTGCAGTGCATTGCTTTTCAAAGTTTGTCAACCCTTGGTCCAGATAGAAATGCAAGGAACTTAAGGAAATCCTCTTTACCTCTCCTAAGTAGAATTTGAGGGGTGGAGGGGCCTAGGCTTAGCTTCATCTGCTGTGGATTTTAAGGGCTATATGGAGATATAGAGTCTTATTTCAGCTCTTCTCTTAGTAGAGGAGTGACTGCTCTGTGTATGTGAGAATCAACGTGCGTTTACCCTTTAAGTCCATGCCTTGAATACTCGAATGTGACTTTACACACCAAGAGAGCATCATTCTTATCACTAAGCAAAGTAAAGAACCTTCTGAAGTGTCACAGGAGTCACAAAAGGAGACTGGAATTCAGCTTCCTTGGGGCCCAAGAGACAATATATGCAGAACTGCCTCCACCTCCCTTTCAACCTGTTGCTCCATCAATCCCCTCCCCCTGACCTGAGACTCCCTCCAGAGACTGTGACTGAAGAACTTTCCCTGGGTCCTGGGAAAAGGACAAAACGCCATCTGTTGCTCCTTTGCTGGGTAAACTCATGCAGTGTGTGGATGCCGGCAACTCTCTACAGCCTTTCGGCTAACCGTCGTGGGGTTGAAAGGGTCTCTCCTTTGTGCCTGTGCATTGAGGCAGGGACAGTATCTGTGCATGTGATCACAAGCCAGGACCCTTGGCTTCTCACGCCTACACCAAGGGGGTGTGTGGGGAGAGGGGGAGGGAGGGATTGGGACTACCTATCAGCGCAGCTGCTGCTGAGGATGAAGGAGAGAAGGAGCAACTAACTCCAGGGGAGGGGGGAAGCAAGAGCTGTGGCCAGGGACAGGGCCTCGTTCTATGCCGTCCTCCGTTAGCTATGTGTTTTGCACAGAGCATGGCTCCCTCGCCTCTTCAGCTCAAACACTGCTTTCCTTGTTCCCCTCTGCATACCTTGTTTCTTTCCCAAGCCTGGTTACTGCTCTGATAAGGCTACATGTGCCCAATACACCACAGATACTGCTGCAGTTTATTGATTCTAAGATACACATTTTTTTTTTCACATATTAACATCTCTGAAATTGGATTGTGTCTTACAATCACTGGCATCTTATAATCACTGTTGGCCAGATGGCAGTCATGGTGTAGTTATAATTGTCTGGCATGCACAAACGTGGTCATAGCTGTTCATATCGTTGTCAGTTCTTTAAAGTCTAAATGAGCTACTTCAAGTATATAATAAAAACTCTAGGTGATCAGAAAGTATTGGATCATGGTTTAAATGGTAGAAGTTTTTTCTTAGTGGTACATCAAATAATGGCTCATCTTATTACAATCTGCGGCATTTGATGAAATACAGTATTTGACCCATGAAGATTTTGTCAGATTTTGCCATGATCATTTCTCTTACATCTCCCTTTCTCTCTTCTGTCCTAACCAGCAAATTCCGGACCCCATCTGAGCTTCACAACGATAACTTCTCCCTCTCCACCATTGCCGAGGGCTCTCACCCAAATGTAAGAAAACTTTGCGACACTCCCCGTACCTCCTCCCCCCATGCCCGTGCCTTGGCTCACTATGATAACGTTATCTGTCAGGTAACTAGTCGTCTTCACATCTACCCTTATGCATGCTTCAGCTGCTGCCCATGTCTTCTGTCTATTTCAGAGTGTGGAGCCACTCCTCAGAGCTCTGGAGATAAGCTTAGGGAAACCAGTTGGGGTGGTGAAAGTGGGAATAAGGGCTTGATGGTGTGTCACTTCCTTGACAAGCAGAGTTATCGGTAGTACCAAAGATCTTTTTCTAGGATGATTCATGCTTTTTGGCTTCGTCTAGGCTTAGAAGCCTGATTTTTGTCTTTCTGCTTTCAATATCAAGGAGAAAGGCTTTGCTTCCATTGCTAGGGAATTTCCTGATGCCATTGAAGCAAATGGTGATTGCTCTTTGGAGTGAGTGGAAAAACCTCTGGAAAACAGTGTCCTTGACACTGTTTGGGGACTCTAAAAACTGGCAGTCTTATACACACTGGTTAGGGCTGAGGTGAGCACAAAACACTAGTGGAACCATAAGTCTAGGGGCAAATTCTGTTCTTAGGAGGATGGGTTCATAAATACCAGTTGAAACCCAATAAAAGGTCCCAATAGACCATTTTCTAAAGACCCTGCCTAGTGTGTTGTCTGGACCAGACTAACCAGTAAAATACTGTCAAAGAGAATTTCAGAAATGAAGCAGTAAATCCATTCAAGCCCCAAATTATGTCACATTTAAATCCAAGAATTCTGCACATGATGCAGGCTTCTCAACGTAGATGCATCATTACACAGATAAGGGAGCTAACCTAAGGCTCTTCAGATGGAAACAATGGAGTTTAAGAGGAAGTTTTGAAGAAGTTATTTGAAATAATGGACCATTGAGTATCAGAGCTCATAGGGGCCTTAACAATCTAGACCAGTACTGTCCAGTGGAACTTTCTACATCTGCACTGTCCACTACGGCAGCCACTAGCTACCTGTGGCTATAGAGCTCTCGAAATATGGCTACTACTACCACATTGGACAGCACAAATCTAGACCATTGTCTTTTTTTATAGAAGGGGAAAGTGTGGCCCCAGAAGGGGAAAGAGAGAATAATAGTAAATGACACCTTGTTCACCAGATCCCAGAAAAGAAAAACTTGGCTTGGTGGAGGAGGAGTAAAGGATCCAGTTAAATAAGAAATGAAAGAGGTAAATCTAGGATAATTTTTTAAAGTCTTTGATATAAAGAGTAGAGAAAGAACAGATATTATTTTGCTTGGTATACACCAAGATATTAATAAGTTCAAGATGGGTATAATAACCAAGGAAACAGGCTGTACTATAAACTTGAAGATTGATAACCACATTAATCGACACACAAAGATGTAGGCCCCTTGAGGGCAGGACAGAGTCTTGCTCATCTTGGGACACTCCATCCCTACCTTACCCAACCCCTTGTAGTAATACACGTTTAGTCATCATTTATGGAATGCTAGTGAATGATGGTCTACAGCAGGGTCTCTTGGTTCCACTATATGATCTGCCATCTTGTATGTGTGGGGCAGCAGGTCTGACCGGTACAGTGGTTCCTAAATTCATTGTCCACGGTTAGTTCCTATCTGCCTGGCAGAGTGCAAGTGTCCTTAGGAAAGTTTCTGACCCATGCGTTTCTGGTACCTCGACTACAGACACCTTTCCTCTTCACAAAGAGGGAGGGGAAGGAAATAGCTCCTCTTAGAGGCCTTGGTTGCATGAGCCAATACAAAGGTTTCCAGTTCTTCTTGGCTGACCTAGCTTTGTGGAAAGTACGGCATTTGTACATCAAAGTTACCACTGATCTTGAGTTCAGAATATGGTAAGCCTTGAAAAGAAGACCAGAGCAGGGGGTGATCAGCCATGGTGGACTCTGCCTGAGAAGGGCCATGGAGTTGTCTGGGCAGCACTTGGGTCTTCCCTCAGGGAAGTGGCAAGATGAGGCCCTGGTGGTCTCTGGCTCCCCTTGGATCTTGAGGGTCATTTCCACCTGGTATCCTTCCCTCACCTGTCCCCAGGGGACATCTTGTCCTCTCTGCCAAAGTTCTGAGCATGTGGACGGGATGACTCTCCTGTCCAGCAGGCAGTGTGCTGGCAGACTTTCTACCTTCATCTCTAATTCTCTCCACCTAGCCCGAAAGTTAGATTTGGTTATATTCAAGATCTCGTGGGCATTGACTGTTAAGACAGTTGCCACTTTATTGTGAAGTGCAGCCCTATTCATTGCATCACCCACCACACTGATTGCTTACAAGTGATGCTGGCAGCAGGATGAGGGTGAGAAAACCTCCAGGTGAGCTGGGAGGTGAAACGGGCAGGCGACCAAGTCAGTCCTGCTCATTTCATCTCTCCCCAGCCCTCTCCTTCACCCCTCAGATTCCCTTGTTGGTATTGGTGTTTCCTAAAATTTTGGAGAGTTCTATTTATCTTAATAGAGGGGTTATTTCTTTTATATAAGTAAAGTAGGTTGAGTGGGTCATTTTCCTGCCTGGCACCAGCTACAATCTGAAAAGATTTCAAACAAAAATTTCCGCCGCTTTGGGTCTGTGGTGGGGGAAGGGTCAGTCACTGGTGCCTGTGTCAAGGGCACTTCCCTTTCCTCTCTGCTGCTCACAGCGCCTGTGCTGCTCTTTGCCTGGGCCCTCCTGGACCAATGTGGGGCCCTGCAGCTGGTGAGCCAGTGGCTGAGCGTGTGTGTGAGTCTTTTGTGTAGCTGAGCAGCCAGCCTCAGAAGGGAACATCAGGAGGAAAGGGAAAAGCCGGCGGCTCCTCAGCACCTGCTGCGGAGGTTTGCAAGTTTTCCGGGATGAATGGCGAGTATGTAGGAAGCTGGACACCTTCCAGGTGCACAGCCTGAATGAAGTCACCTGAAATTCATGGGCATACTGCCCGGACACTGATGGTGCCCTGACAGCTGTGCCATCCATGGAATGTTGTGGATATAACTTGGTCCTCTTAAGATTTGACAGACCTTCCAGGACTTCACTCTATTACTAGGACTTCTCCATGGTGTCCCTCAGTGCTTTTTTCCCCCTATTTAAATCTTTCTTACTTCCCGGACTCTGTTTCTTTCACATATTTGGTAAAGCACTGACTGCCTGCATCCTTCTGATAGAGGTTTGTGTCTGGACAAGGAGGGATCCAGGGCCTGGACTCACTGCCCCTGGGCTGAAGAATGCCCATATGGCTGTGTTGGAATGCTAGGAGTCGAGGCTGCACAGTAGTTCCCAAGACTTATGCCAGATGGAGGTCCAGTTTAGTTTGGGCCCCCACCTTCATGGCATCACTGCTTTTGATGCCCAGGTCTGTAAGGACTCACTAAATCCACTTTTCTTCACATCATGAAGTTCATTTCCTCTGTTCTTGTCTCATTGGAAATGGAGAGCATGTGCTCCCTGTTGTGTGTAAATCATTCCTGTGGTCTTTGAAACTCTATTTAATTGCTCTGTTCAAGCTGGCCTTCTGGAAAAGTGCTAAGTAAGGCTGGGAGCGGGGGTCAGGTGACAGTGATTTCTATATGCACAGTGCTTTTGAACACCGAGAGTGTCCTATATAAGCCTGGAGCCTTTACCTACTTTCCAACCAGTAACTGCCCTGACCTGATGCTGTTATGGGTCAAACTCGGTAGCAGGCATCATGGACAAGAGCTCACCACGGTTTTATGGAGAATGCCCTGGTCCTTAAGTGTGATAGTTACCTTGAATTTTGAAGTGGTTAAAGCAAGAAAGGTCTGAGCTAGCTGGTCGGACAGGGACATTCTCTACCCTTCTTTTTTTTTTTGTGAGGAGATCAGCCCTGTGCTAACATCCGCCAATCCTCCTCTTTTTTTTTTTTGCTGAGGAAGACGGCCCTGGGCTAACATCTGTGCCCATCTTCCTCCACTTTATATGGGACGCCGCCACAGCATGGCTTGCCAAGCAGTGCGTCGGTGCGCGCCCGGGATCCGAACCAGCGAACCCTGGGCCGCCGCAGCGGAGCGCGCGCACTTAACCGCTTGCGCCACCGGGCCGGCCCCACATTCTCTACCCTTCTTGCCACCCATGAACCTGCCTGGATGGTTACACAACCTCTTTGATCAGCAGAGTTCTGAGCACTTACACTAGCTATTTGGGGCACCTGAAAAGAATTGAGGCCCACTGAATTGCATTGGGTATAATCCCCTCAGGTGGTCCTAAGGGAAAAGAGTAGTGGGAAGACAGGAGTTACTGTAAGTTTCTCTGAAAGAGGGGCCTTAACTTTGCCAGCAGCAGCTCGGCGCCTGACCATAGACCTGTTCACTCCCCACTGTATGCACTGACAAGACATGTTCCCTGACCAAGACCTTTTTGGTTTTTTTTGTTTGTTTTTTTTGTGAGGAAGATCCGCCCTGAGCTAACATCCATGCCAATCCTCCTCTTTTGGCTGAGGAAGACTGGCCCTGGGCTAACATCTGTGCCCATCTTCCTCCATTTTATATGAGACGACACCACAGCATGGCCTGACAAGCGGTGCCTCGGTGCGCGCCTGGGATCCGAACCCAGGCCGCCACCAGTGGAGCGCTCGCACTTAACCGCTACGCCACGGGGCAAGCCCCTGACCAAGACCTTTTTGTGAGAGCAGAAAACAACAGGATGGAGGGCCATGGGAAGAGGGGCAGGGCAGGCCAACCAGAGCTCACCAACAGGTGAGACTTCAGAGTGACCAGGCCAAGTATTAAAAGGGAATGTTGCTCCCCAGTCTCTGTCAAAGAGAAAACCTTGGATGGCCTACGTTAAAGGTATTTGTAATCCAATTACCTGTCAAGTTTTCATCTATATCTGGCCAGTGTTTTTGAGGATGACTTTCCTAAAAAGTAGCTGCTAATGAGTTGCCTTGGTTCTTTCAAGCTTTCCTCCTTCTTTCAGTCATGCTTCTTTCAGCCAGATAGAAAAGCCTGAGATTGTTGTTTGATCCCTCTACCCATTGTCTCCTTTCGGCCCCTCCCTTACTGTTTTCCTCTTCCAGGATGATCCTAGTGCTCCCCACAAAATCCAGGAAGCTCTCAAGTCCTGCCTGAAAGAAGAGGAGTCATTTAACATCCAGAACTCCATGTCGCCCAAACTTGAGGGTGGCAAAGGTGACCAGGCTGACTTGGAGGTGAACTGTCTTCAGAATAACTTAACCTAAAGCAGAGCAAGAAGAGAGGAAATGGGGGGCGGGGGGTGGGGGAAGAAACATTATCTCCTCTTGTACAGAGTCTATTTCTTGTAACCATTTGTTAAACTCTTTTCTTTTTTCTGATCTCATGGCATGCTTTGATGTATTTTGTACAGGAGGGAAAAAAACACAAAATAAGCAAAGAACCTGAACCGAATTGCATACATTGGATTGTTTTGTCTGTGCTGTCTGTACATTGCTTCTGCTGCTGTGATTTCTAAATCTATGCTGTTATGACTTTTTTTTTTGTACTTTGACCCACCTTTTTTTGAAATACCAGTAAAAAACAAAGTTCTTGAAATAAAACTTTTTAAAAAGCCATTTTCCTGATGTTATTGTGTCTACTCCCTACCCATTCTTGTCAGTTTGAGTTGAATTCTTACCTTCATTGAAGATATGTATTTATACATGTTTGAAATCCCAGAAATGGTCTATGTATTAGTCAGCTTGGATTGCCATAACAAAATACCACAGACTGGGTGGCTTAAACAGTAGAAATTTATTTTCTAACAGTTCTGGAGGCTGGAAGTCCAAGATCAAAGTGTCAACAGAGTTGGTTTCTGGCGAGGCCTCTCTTTCTGACTTGCAAACAGGCACCTTCTCACTGTGTCCTCATGTGGCCTTTGTTCTATGAGTATGTAGAGAGAGAGAGATCTCTGGTGTCTCTTCCTCTTCTTAAGGACACCAGTCCAATTAGATTGGGGCCCCACCTTGATCTCATTTAACCTTCATTACCTCCTTATAGGCTCTGTCTCCCAATACAGTCACATTAGGGTTTAGGTCTTCAGCATATGACTTTTGTGGGGGACATAATTCAGTCCATAACAGTCTGTAGCACCTGTTATTAAGAATATTCTTTCCAGGGCTGGCCCCATGGCTTAGCGGTTAAGTGAGCGCGCTCTGCTACTGGCGACCCGCGTTCGGATCCCAGGCACGCACCGATGCACCGCTTCTCCGGCCATGCTGAGGCCGGGGAAGGATGTGCAACTATGACGTACAACTATCTACTGGGGCTTTGGGGGAAAAAAGGAGGAAGATTGGCAATAGATGTTAGCTCAGAGCCGGTCTCCCTCAGCAAAAAAGAGGAGGCTTGGCATGGATGTTAGCTCAGGGCTGATCTTCCTCACAAAAACAAAAACAAAAAAGAATATTCTTTCCGGGGCCAGCCCGGTGGCACAAGTGGTTAAGTGCGCACGAACCGCTGCGGCCGCCCAGGGTTCGCCAGTTCGGATCCCGGGTGCGCACCGACACACCGCTTGGCAAGCCGTGCTGTGGCAGCATCCCATGTAAAGGGATGGGCACGGATGTTAGCCCAGGGCCAGTCTTCCTCAGCAAAAAAAAAAAAAAAGAGAGACTTGGCAGATGTTAGCACAGGGCTGATCTTCCTCACAAAAAAATAAAATAAAAAGAATATTCTTTCCTTCTTTCATAAATATTTATTCAGCTCTTACTCAGCCAGGCACTATGCTAGATGCTAGGAACGATAGATGAATAAGATAGACCCTAACCTCGAGAAGTTAACAGTGTACTTGAGAAACAGACTTATAAACAAATGATTATAATACAGAATGTCAGTATTATAATAGAGGTTTGTGCAAAGCTGTGAGAGTCGGAGTTAAGAGTTCCAATGGCTTCAGGGAGAGGAGGTTTAAATTGGAGTTGGAAGGATGCATTTTTTAGGATGATGCAAAAAAGACGACATTCAGGTAGAGAGAGAACACCTATAGGAAAGTTGTGCTATATGACTAGTGATTGTGAGAGGGAGGGGTCCTAGATGATGAGGCTGGAAAGGGCAATTTAGGACAGATTGCGAAGGGCCTTGAATGTCACTAAGCACAGGGCTGAGGCAGGGTCAGATCTGTCTTCTAAAAAGATACGTCTGGAGACAGTGATGAAGGCAGACAGAATGAGGACTGTAGCAATCCAGGCAACAAATGAAGCTGGATTAGAGAGAATGAAGAGTTCAAATAGCCAGAATTACTGACTATTGGAGGAGTTTTCTAGAACTTTGCCTGTGTTCAATCTGTGATAATTCCAATAACGAGAATCCCTGTAAGTGTGTTTCTGTTGCCTAATTTCTGCTGGTTCTCCCTGATTTGTCATCTCATGTGCCTCTTTTTTTATTTTGGGCTGGACATTGTATTTGATAAATTGTTTATTGACATATTTTGAGGCCTGGGATGATTTCTTTCTTTAAAGAGGGTTAGGTTTGCTTCCGTCAGGTGCCCAGGGGCTATAGAATTCTGGGATCACATTAATCCAGGTTGAAGGATGGAGATTTTCCCAGCCACTGAAGCCAGGCTGCAGACCTATCAGACTATGCAAGGGCTGGTTGGCTTTTGGTTCATCCTTACCCCTAGGGCACAATCCTCTGGGGTCACAGCCCACAACAGGCAGTGGTTTATGTGTCCTACGTTTGGCGGCCCCTGTACTCCAACCCCTACCCCCCAGCCCTGCAAGACTTTCAGAAACACAACTCATTCTCTTAGTCACCTCTTCTAAATGGGCAAATGCCTCCAGGGAAGATGTGGCCCTGAATGCTAGGCTCACCTGTCTTCTCTGGGATGTCAGCCTAGTAATTCTTTAGTATCTTGTTAGCTCTTTGATGCTTTTCAGATGTTTGTACAGCTTTTTGGTTGTCCTTAGTGGAAGGATTGGTCCAGTTTACCTAGTCTCCCATTTACTGACAACAGAGGTCCTTTATTTTCATCTTGGGACTCTTGCCCAGATGGCATTCAGCTGGTGCCATGAGCTCAGTCTGCTCTTTGCTTTTGGATAGGGCTGCATAGTGAGATGTTAGGTTATGGCCTGTGTGTATTACGGTTTCCTCACCTGACCCTTATCCACTTTGGAGGGTTTGGCATAGTTCTGCTTAGGACTTCCTATACTCTCTGAATTAGGGGATGGACCCATCTTGCATGGGTAGGCACCTCTGGCTCCTTTCACAAGGAGGCCCAATCAAGAGAGATTGTATGTGAAAGCACTTTGTAAGTTCTAAATCCCATCCAGAAGTAAGGGTTTATTAGTATTGTGTTTTGTTTTTCCCACAAGAGTATCATGAAATGCAGATCAAAGCCCTTGGCTCTACGCCATCTTCACAGCACATGCAGGAGGGATAGGAAAACCTAGATGGGAAGGGGAAAGAGGAGACAGTGCAGGCTTAATGAATAGAGTTACCAGCTGTTGCCAAGAGTCTTTGACCCTAAGAAGGGGCTGATGTGATGGAATAGGATATATTGATGTCTATCTGTGCCGACACTCTTTCCTGCCAGTGTTTGTGCTTCTCAGTGATTGTGCTCCAAGGGCCAGCCAGCATCCTCTCTGGGGACCTCCAGCTCTGCTGTTAGCTCCCTCACCCGCCCCTACAGTGATTGCCTAGTGCTTGAGACATCCTCCTTCAGCACCCTGGTGCTTTCAGATGAGTGTGCCCTGATCCCTTCTCTCTGCATTTTCCACTCCACTCCGTACCTGTCTTCTGCCCTCTTCTCTAAAGGACAAACGGAAAGTGTGGGAAACTTAGGCATCATGGAAGAAAAATCATTTGTCTAGGGAGCCTTTCGGCACTTATGGGTCTTTTCACTTAGGAGAATTATACATGCAATGTTGAACCATCTGTCTACACGAGGCGTGTCCTTTACGCATATGCCACACCTGTCTTAGTTTCCTGGGGATTCCATAACAAATTACCACAAACTGAATGGCTTAAAACAACAAAAATTTATTCTCTCACAGTTCTGGAGGCTAGAAGTCTAAAATCAAGGTGTCAGCAGGACCATGCTCCCTCTGATGGCTTCAGGGAAGAATTCTTCCTTGCTTCTTCCTAGCTCCTGGTGGTTACCAGTAATCCTTGGCATTCTTTGGCTTGTAGTTACATCACTCCAGTTTCTGGCTCTGCCTTCACATGACCTTCTTCCCTCTGTGTGTGTCTGTGTCTCTATGGTCTTATAAGGTCACCAGTCACTAGATTTAAGGCCCATCCTAATCCAGTATGACCTCATCTTAACTTGAGTACAACTGCAAAGACCCTGTTTCCAAATTAGATCACACTCACAGGTAGTGGGAGTTAGGACTTCAATGTATCTTTCTGGGAGGACACAGTTCAACCCACGATGATGCCTTACTGTTTACAACACACTTTCTTATCTGTGGTCTCATCACATCTTCACCAGAGCCTGGAGACTGGGTCTTAGGGCTGGAAAGCATCAGTGACAATATTAGAACCCAGACCTTGGACTTCTAGTTCAGTTTCCTTTCCTGTGTGTGACATCACATCGTAGATACTATATTTACAGTTCTTGTCCTTCCTCGTATAATTTATAGAAAGGAAATGGTTAGCCTGTTCTCCAAAAAGCAGCAGACTCAGAGCTAAAAGACCTCTCCATCTGGGAGTCAGGTGACCTCTCTGAACCTAAGGTTCTTCAACTGCAAAATCCTTACCTTTTATAGGACTACCTAGGCATCAGGGATATAGCAATGAACAAAACAGTCCAAAAGCCCTGCCTGGTGGAACTTACTTCCCAGAGTCATGAAGTGCACACAAGGTAAGGTATATGAAAGTGTTCTGGGAAGTGGAAGGGGCTGTACAAACCCACCCTGCAGGCCCAGGGGAAAGGGTGTGTGCCAGCAGGGGGATAAAGGCAGCTTTACTGGCGAAACGAGTAATGAGGTGTGTGGGCACTGCCATTGCTGAGAACTACAGCAGAGGCTCTTCCCTCAGCCCAGGAGCTCATTGCAGGTAGATGAGAGGCTTGGGGGAAGAGTGAGGGACTCCACTAAAGGAAACTTGAAAGTAGTAGCATCTCCTGAGCGTGTAACAGTGAAATTACACTAAGTACATGGGAACAAAGATAGGTAAACTTACCCTAAGGGAGCAGATGGCCAGCCAAAGGCTTATCAAAGCCAAAAGAAGGATGTGTCGATTAGAAGGGTTAGCCTCCTGGTGCACATGTGCCTGCAATTCTGAGGTATATACCTAGGAGCAGAATCGCTGGGATGAAATTTAGCCTATTTTTACCTTTACAAGATGACATCAAAAGTGGTTGTATCAATTAATAACTCCCACCAACAGTGGATCAGAGTTGCCTTTTTTCTATATCCTTGCCAACACTTGATATTATCACATGTTTTCAATTTTAGCCGTTTTTGTAGGCATGTAGTGGTAAGTAATTGTGATTTTAATTTGCATTCCCTAATTATTAATGAGATTGCACCTCTTTCATATTTTTGTTAGTCATCTAAATTTCTGCTTTTGAGAAGCACCTCCTTAATTTCATAGCCCATTTTTCTATTAGATTATCATTTTCTTATTGCTTCAAGGGCAT